ATTGAAGGAAATGGTCATTTGTAGGGATCAAATTCATCTCTTGGTCATTTTTCACTGAAGATTTCCATAAAATCTCTACCTCTACAAATGGCACCTTCGTGACTTATGGAAGAGCTAAAAGACAAAAACAAAATTCATTTTTCACAATAAATGTAACATCTCAATCCGGATTTGGAAGCATCGACATAAACTTGATACCCGCCTGACCCAGATGACAAGGAAAGTAGCAGTGCGGTTATGAGTCGTCGTTTTAATTCTTCAAAAACCTTATCTTGCCCGTCACCCCGTACAAGCTTTACTCCTTTTCGGACGAGTTTAGTCAACGGAAGTGTGATCCTAGAAAAGTTTCCAACAAAACGTCGAAAATAACCAGATAAACCCGAAAATGCACGTACCTCGGCAACTTTCATTGGTTTGTGCCAGTTAGTAATGACTTCAACCTTAGCTGGATCAACTTGAATGTCATATGTTGAAATAACATGGCCTAAGAAGGCCACTCAATCCAACCAAAACTTACACTTTGATAGCTTAGCATATAACTTTTTTCTTTCGAAGTGTATCCAAAGCTAACAAGTCTGCAGGTGGCACTTCCACAAGTGGGTAAACATGAATGTTTTTTTTAGCTCATCTGCAAATCACGAAGGTGCCACTTGTAAAGGTAGTGATATTTTTTAAAATTCAATAAAAAAATGACTAAAAGATTGTAATAATGTAATTTGTTAAAAAATAAATATATTTTAGTTAATATATAATTATATATATTAATATAATAAGGATGTAAATAAAAAAATAATGGATGTAAAATAATTAAATAATTAATTTTAAGGGTATAAAATATCATTTTAAATATTTAAAAATGATTAGAGATGACTATAGTGGGTATAGTTAGCAACCCCTTGCATTAAAAGAGGAAAAGAAATCATGATTACACTAAGTAGGAATTAATGAGTTGTTTATCAAATGCTTATCTAGGTATGCATTTATCAAGTCACATTACCTTACCGAATGTATATGGCAAAGACCAAGGGGCTGTTTACTTGCGGCTTAATTAGGCTTATTGGTCTATTTGGCTTGTTCGAACAACTCATTTGAGTTGTTTACTTACGGCTTATTCGCACAGATAAAAATGGTGTGTTGTCCCCATTCAGTCACAAAAATGACATCCCTACCTCTTATTTAAAGCACCGCATCCTTCCCATATGAGACACCCCATCTTCGGCCTCTTTATGATTTTTTGTTTTGACGTTCAAATAATTAATATTGGGGGATAAATCAGTCATTTATGTTATTCAGACTGTTGGTTCAGATAAAAAAAAATAAACAACAACACTCATTTATCCAGACAGACAAATTTATCCGGGCAGACAAATTTATCCATACAGGACTTAATAAAAAAAATTGGTAAACAGACCCTAAGAATCTTACCCGATAAAATTGAGGCAAGGAATCGAAGGTCTTACCCGGTAAGTGCGTATGACGACTCTCACCACGGCTAGCGATTGCCTGATAAATTGTTGCATACGATGCCTTTTTTGTTGACTAAAATTGTACCCACTAAGCAAGTGACAGTGCTGAAATTTACAGGTAAGCGCTTACTGGGTAAGTGTTTGGTAAACGACCTCTAAGTCACATCTAGTTGTGTTCTAATGTAATTTTACCTTTTGGACAATAGAAAAAAGTGCTAAAGCGGTCCGAAGTGGATGTATGAAATTTGCATTTGGATGGTTATTGATCGACCACTATGCAACAATCGTTTACGTTATATGGTACTTATACAAACCTACATTCATCCATACATATATCGACTTATGCGGAAAAAAGTAAGCTGTATCGAGCACTGAATGGCATCAAAACCATTCTAAATGGGTGATTGGGGTCTTCTGATGCTAACCGAATTAAAATATCGACAAGGTGGAGAACTATAGTATTCTCAAGATCATGATTGAGACTATTTGAAGCAACATCCATCTAATTTTCTCAACTTGGAAAATACTGTTTTGTCTTTTACAATCTGATTTAACCCCGAAAAATATACATTTTCAGATATACGTCTTTCACAAAGACGATAGTGACGATAGTCCTTTCATAAGTCTTTTCATACAACCCTTTTCATCATACCCTTAACGACACCATTTTCTTTGGCTTTATTATCATACAATACAGTGTTTGCATCATAAAAGGCCTATTTTTCCAATTTCTTGTCTTGTTTTTTTGAACTATATAATATTTATACTAGAAGGGTATCGCGCAATACAGCGAGATATTTCTTGATTTTAATATTTCATTTTATTCCTTATCCCAGTCGATGTTATAATATGGTCTTATGTGATTTTGAAAAAACGATGATATTTTTTTTTGAAAAAAATATAAATTTGAAGACATCATAAAAATTTGACCAAAATATATTGATATTAGTATCAAATTAACTATTTTAAATTCTTATTTTTTGTGTAATTTTCTAATTCAACTTTTTTATTATAATTTTAATTTAGGTTCAATAACGAAGTAATTTATATTTGATCTAATAATATAATTTTTTATACAGATAATAATTAATTATTTTGTTAAAACTCGATAATTTTATAATTTTAGATTTTAAAATAAGATGTTTATCCTCTATTTGATTATATTTATCCGTAGTTAGTTAGACGAATTCAAATATTGAGCTTTAATAAGTTGTATTTATGCATAATTTACTTGTAATCTTGAATTTTGAGTAATATGCATCAATATACAGTACTTCATGCATAAAAAATGTTTTTAAGAGTTTTTTTGTCAAATGCTTTATAATATAGTATAGATAAACTCGCACACCCTCCTCATATTTGGTGAGATTTAAACCCCCTGATGTTGTAGAGGCTCCAAAGGCTCTTTGATTTCTTGTGTTGTAAAAGTGTAAAGTCTATTTATTTTGATACAAATACTAAGAAGTAAATTGAAAAATAGAAGTAAAAGAGAAAGATGAGTAAGAAAGCACTCAAAAACCAAAAGCAGTGATCCATCGTAGGTTGAAGCTATAATTGAAGTTTGACTTTATTTGTCAAAGAGAAAGGAAAAGGAAAAGGGGGACAAATGTTAGGAAGAGGTCAAAATTTGACCACTCAAGAGACAAATAGTCAAAATTTGTATTTAATTAGAAAAAGATGCATAGATTTTGGGTGGGCAGAGTTTAATGTTATAAGTAGGTTTAGATTGTTTACAAACAGCTGTATGCACTACCACCCCTTTTCACGCTAAACACCCCCTTACTTGATTCCAAATCTAATATTAAACTCTTTTTCTTTACATCACATGTATATATTATATTATAAAATATTTCACAAAAACTCATATTAATTTCAGATAAATTTTATTAAATAGAGGATAAACATTTCATTTTTAAATATAAAAAAACTAAAATATAATTAAAATAATCATTAAGTTTTAACAAAATACTTTAATTATTATCTTTTATAAAAAATTATATTATTAAACCAAAAATAAAATAAATGAATTAAAGAAATACACAAAAAAAAAAGAAATTTTAAATAGTTAGTTGATACTAATATAAATATTTTTTTTATGATATCTTCATATTTATATTTTATTCAAAAATAAAAACATTATTGTTTTTTCTCAAAATCGTATTATAACATCGACTAAAACAAAATACTAAAATCGAGATGTATCTCGCTACATTATGCGAGTACCCTTCTAGTATATATATATATATATATATATATACACACACATACACACGCGCACGCGAATGATTGTGTGTGAGAATAGGAGTTATGGTAAGAAAAATGCAAGAAATAATCTAAATACTTGATCACTTTTGATCACATGAGAATTGATCCGATACATCTCGTTGCATCTCATTACTGTTAATCTTCAATTAGAATTGATCCAAGAATGAAGATCTTTTCTTACTCTTTTCACCGTACCTTTTTTTCAAAACAAAAAAACACATCTATTACATTAATTTAAGTGTAAAAACATCTGTGATACAATATTGTTATGTTGTATTATTTGAAGATTATGTTTGTATTTATCCTACACGTACACAGCTCTTGAAAATTAAATCCATCAACATCATATTAATTCCATATTTTTTTAATATAAGATGTAACGAATAAAAAAATTTAATCAGTCAAAGATATAAAATAGTAGTAGCAACTGCAACATTGGTGAACGGATCGTTTATTAAACATGTATCGGGTAAGAGTTACCGAGTAAGAGGTATAACAAGGACCAACAGTCTTACCCAAGTAAGCACTTACCAAGGTTTAAAATGTTTACTGACAATCAATTTTGATGTCCAAGAATGTTACATGACAAGGTAAGTGAGAGTAATTTCTCTTACTGATAAGTACTTACCCGATAAACATTTGGTAAACAACCCCTAAGTTGCCTTACATAATTGATTTAAATTTAGATAATTTAAAGATAGTGAAGCCTCTAGCATGTAGCTTAGTTGGCAAATGAGTGTAGACTTTTGCCCAAATTCAAGACAACCCACGGGTTCAATCCAAGGCCTCTCCGCTAGCTTCAGCCGCTACGTGGGCCAAAAAATTCCCTTTTACATTGGTGTCTTTGAAGACAAGTTCCGTATAAAGTCGACTAAAGTTGTCAGTAATCAACTTTTACCTAAATTTAAATATACTAAAATTTAGTCATGAAGTTTTGTAGCCTTAATTATATATGATCAAAACAAGTTTAAATTTTTTAACAGAACCAAACAATCGGTTAACCCAACCGTGGTTATGTGACCTGTTAAGTCGCTTAACACTGGTCATAGCTTCTTTACTTGACAATCGGTTATAACCGGTCCGGTTACGGCTCTAGAGGCATGCAGGGACCGGGACCAGGACCAGGACCGGGAACGGGATTGTAGAGAGGGCCCGACCGTTTAACCAGTTTGCCATCTTTATTGAAAAGTAAGGCCTGAAGGATAAAATATACGTAGACTAAATAAAAGACTCGAACACAATTCAAGGATTATGGAACCTTGTTTGATACAATTAAAACAAAGGTTTGTTGGTCTTCTAACCTCAACAAGCCATCATGATTTTTACAAAATGTAAGCAAACTGCAACCTTTGCCATCGACACATATAACAAACTCCATTCATCTTCCCTTAATTTGCCCACTTATTTTCCCCTTTTGCATCAAGAAATTTGTTATTAACTCACTTATCCTTCTTCCCACCAGAATTCGATAAGGTTCCTTCGATCGTCCGCAGTCCATCCGTGAGACTTCGGTTCTCGGACTGCAACCGTTCGTATTCAACACGGAATCCTTCTGATTGATTCTTGAGACCACCCGAATCCATTTCTGCAGACTTGATCTTTTTCTCCTTGTTAGCATTTTCAGATTCCAGCCTTCTGATCTTTGCTGTCAGCCGAGATATTTCTTCATTAAGGGCGTTAATCTCGTCTACAGCATTGTTCTTACCTCCTTCAGGGGTTTGGTTTTGTTTCTTTCTGAGCATGCGTAGTTCTCTAATGTAATGATGTAGTCTATCGATCATCAGCGACAGGAAAATTGAGAAGCCTGATGCATCGGTTAAGATTTCTTTTCATTTAACTTGATTTAGTTGAAAAATGAAAGGTTCATACAGATGAAACCAAACAAACCAAGTAAATCCAACACATGTAGGGTTGGGGGGTAGGATGTCTGTAAAACTTCATAAAAGGTAGAGAGGCTGTTTCCGTGAAACCCCTGGATTGTGAAGCAAAACTACAGGTAAATTTGTGTGCAATCAATGAATGGGTATCCAAATGTTCCGATAGATGGTTTAGCAGAAAACACTGAACCATGACCTTTTTAACTGCACACGGAGAGGCCCAAACTCATGAACTATTAAACGGCATATCCGTTGCAAAAGTTGCATTAAAAATCTAGATTCATGTACAAACTTTGTGGCAACAACCTCTATCGATTGATGGATAGGGGTTGGGTTCCGGTGAGGATAGGGGTTATGATAAGAAGGGAGAAGGGATCTCCACCCTTGGATCAATCCTAATTGAAGATCAACAATAATGAGATGCACCGAGATGCACCGGATCAATTCCCGTATCAAGCGCAATTCATGGAGTGGAGGTGAGATTAAAAGTGATCAAAGGTCCAGATCTCTTCCCTTCTTACGCTGCTCACCTTAACTCCTATTCTAACACGATTCTTTATATGATGGATAGTGCATAATAATAATACAAAGGTCATTAAACAAGTGAATCCCCCAAATACCGCATTAAATTACTTAAAGATCTTCGGCAATAATTTTATGTGTTACTAAACTTCTGTTGACACACAGACATGGTAAAAGACGACATCAAAGGGCTTATAAAGGCTTTCCAGAAAATAAAAGAGCATTTGACGGACCTCCAGAACTAGCAAGGACATTCTGACCTCACTAATATAAAGAAAACTTACGAAAGATGATAACATGAGTTCAAGAGATAAATTACTTCAACAGAGAGCCACAAAACATGCTCAGCTATAAGTCAACAAGAACCAGTTCCTGAACCAACAAGCAATACACTTTGGAAATGAATCAAATGCTTGTATGGTGAAAATCTATGAGGTAAACAAGAGCCCTGAGGTAGTAGGCTTTAATGTCCAAGCTTTGGTGAAACTCAATACCAACTGAGCTTTGATCCAAACTGATTAACTAGCCAACACCACTTGAAATCCCCATTCTAAAGAATAACCTTTTTTCAGAAACATTGATATTTGTAGCAAGCTAAAAGTAATAGTCAAGCCATACATTTTGAGAATTTGCATCAAGACATTCATTAGACCTAGATGGTAAATACTAGAATATTTGTTAACGCATCTCAACAATCGTCCAAGCTCACACCTACAACAGATTACCTCTAGGCATCCAGCCTTTTCATAAGAAGCTTAGCTCGTACCCATGCAATCTAGCACCGCATTCAGCAATACAACATAGTAGAAAGGTTAGATCTATGATTATTAGTTCTTTTTCCATCTGGGTTCTCTAATAACTTCAGCAAAGTCAATCATATACCAAATAAGCTCCCCTGACCCCACACTAGCGCAAGGAGGAACTACTATGAATTATTGTAACAGTAAAAACAGAAGAAATTACCAGCAATGATCAAAAAAAGAAAGGAAAGACACCCACCAACCCACTAGAATTTCATAACCAATTAGAAATTAGAACTGATTGCATTATAAGCAACATCCATTATGAAGAGTTTGTGCAGATGCATAACATAATGGCAAGGTGGCTGCTGGTATGAAATGCATAAATCTTTTTAATAAGAGAATCGGTTGGGCCTAATTGGGGATCTAACAGCTGCGTTTGTACAAAACTGCAACTTCCGCCATATTCATCAAAACGCATAGATTGTTCTCCTTTTAAGTGAAACTTCTTACAAGTTACAATACTGTTAGAGGGTACCATCAAATCACAGGCCATCAATGGAACAAGATAGGAACTTAAGTTGATTATAATACAACAAAGATACCCACCCAGGTAGTGGATCAATCCACAGATGGACAGACACAAGAGTAAATAAACCTATCCACATGCCATTTAGGTAAAACAAGTCAGACATGAATGATCATTGCTATCTCAAAATGGATTCCTACTCAGACTCCATGTGAATTTACCGATACTTGTACAAATGATTCAGCATTATGATAACATAGCACAAGAGCTATCTATGTGCAATGCAATCAGGTAGAGGAACATAACAATCAAAGAGGTTGTGCTTAGGATTAAACAAAATGGCAAGGAAATTCAAAGTTAATTGACACCAAATCCCGTAATTACTTACTCAGGCTTATGATTTTCTCTTTTGATAACAGTTCTTCCTCGATCCATGGTTCAAACCGAGATAATCAACGGAAAAACATGAAGGCTCTTATAGCCTGTAGCTTGACTAATAAATTTCGCATATAGTCAAAACAAAGGAACATGCCTAACAGATATCCAGCAAATCATGTTGATTAAAAGAAACTGCAATTAAACATACAGCCAAAGTAATCAATCACAACATTTTACGAAGAATACAAAAAACAAGAAGGAAATGAAGATTACCAATGAGAGAAGCTTCGAGCATTTGGTAAGCGAGGATGATTTGATCGGTGGGACCGATAGCATCGCCGGGGCGTCTCCGCATATGCGAAACGTTGTAAATTTGGTAGAGCATGATGGTGAAGATGGTTGCGACAACGGATTTCACGATCAATGGAGCTCTCCCTCGTTTCATACGATCTAATGCAAGGATTAAAAGCTTTCGAAGTGGGGTTTTGAACATAAGTAATAGAATGATTGCCATTTCGGCGAATAAAACCATGAAGAACACGTAAATCATCGTGTATTTTTCAAAAATTACAGCGCAATTGAAACCCTAATCGATCGATCGACGACCAATGATACAGACAACTGCATGCAGTTTGTACCTACAAATTGGGCAAGTCAGGGGCCAAATATAGTTTTTCAATCGAATTAATTAGCGTTGCATTTATTAACATACTAGTTGTATAATCGTGTAATACGGTGGGAGCCATAAATTTTAAAGATTTTAAAGTTTCATTGGTTTTATTAGAGAAGATTTAACAATGATATACGTTACACTTGTTCTTTGCATATTAATACAATTTAAATAAACAAGAGTTATGGTTCCAATTATAGTTTATCGATAGAAAAAATTGTATGACAATTTAAAATATAATATATTTAAAATCTAACATATTTAAACGACTCCACAAATGTGTTCGATTTACACCAAGAGCAAAGAATTAAGAGATCGAGAGTGAGACTGAAAGTTTTAGAACAATTGAATGAGCGATGAATAAGAGAAGTTTTAATAACTTATGATGAATATCAGTTTAAATCTCACATTGGAGGATAGGGAGAAAACATTAAGGTATGAATGAGTGAAGACATGAGTGAAATGTGTCAAAAGTATCTTGAGAACATAAATTTTTTTAAGACTAAATGCATAAAATAGAACTATTTATTTTATTATGAGTTGTTTTTAAGACTTTTAAGAATTTATGTATAAATGTATAATACTTTGTGTATTAAAATTTATTTTTAAAACTTTTGATAAATCTGTTTATAAGGTAGTATAGATTAATTTTTATATAAAATACATTCATCAGATAATTTAATTAAAAAACATCTTCTAAATATTATTTGAGTATTTCTTTTTATATTTTTATATCATCATTAAATGTTTTTTTAAAATATTTTTATAGTTTTTATTAGACTAAAAAGGAATTCAAATAACATTACCAATATTATCTTAGATAACGCTATAGGAAATCTAGAACAGATGACGAGATCGACTGATGTGAATAAAAATACACGTATTAAAGAGACTGATTTAAACGTATTTCAGTGAAAGTCGATATAACTGTGAGGAAGTCAAATATGAAAAAGTATAATACTTGAGGTATAAGATTGAATGAATGCAAGATCGACAACCTACGATGGAGGATTATGACGACTCGCTAAACTGTTGGCCTAACTTGAAACCATAAGGGTGGTGTTTGATTGGTTTGAGTTTGGGCTCCAAAGATCAAAAGTGTATGAAAGTCACATGTTCAAATATAAGGAGGAATAAAAATCTCCTTGTGGTCATGGAAGTTCAAATTCTGTGATTCCGAGCAACCCCCAAAGCAAGTGATTTTCCTGAGATTAGTCGGCTTGTATTGCGGGTTGGATATCCAGGTTAATTAAAAAAACATAAATATTCAAGTTTTTATTGAATATATTTGGTTATAAAAAAACATAGATTAAAACTGGTATCATCAATTTTGAAAAAAAAAAGTGAAAAACAGCTTTTAATTTGAAATGTTTATGGTTTAAGAAATTCTCAATTCTCTTATATATAAATAATCTGAATTTGATTAATGTTGGAGATTGGCAAAAGCAAGTTATGACTGGTTATTTAACCGGCCAGATAATTGTTTGCGATAAAAACAGCTACCATATACTGGATATGGTATAGCCCGTGACAGTCCCTTAATAGGTCCTTAGGCCATTTAATTGGTTGGTCATAGCCTGCCCGAAATATGTAGTTTAATCGGTCCATTTTCTATGTTTAAAGTTTTATTACTGTTAAAGGTGAACTGTGTTTTTCGTCCCTATGGTTTATTAATAACTGCTATTTTTGTTTTCTTGGTTTCGAATTATGAATTTCGTTCATATGGTTTGTAATTTGTTGTTGTTTTCATCTCTATAATTAACGTCGTTAAAAATATTATTCCCAATAGAAAAAATGATTCTGAATCTATAATGCTGGCTTGGTCGATTAGTAAATCACTCGTCATCACGATCAAAATCGAAAAACGTGATTCACATTCTTTCCAAAATGTTAATACCTGAAGATTTTCAAAAAATCATCAGCATTCAAGCAGTTATGGCTGATAAGAATACAATTAAACCTTGTCTATTGTACTGATAGGTGACCTTCTTTTAATTACTTTTTAATTGGTGAGATCCAATTTAGACCATAAAAATCAATTAAAAAATAAAATCTAATTTAATTTAAAACACACATCCAAACACCCCCCCCCCCCCCCCCCCAAATCTCTTGTTTCAACTATTTTCTCTTATGTTTCCTCTCTCCATAACATAATAACACACAATTAAACGTGCACATAAAGTAAACACATTGTGAACACTAGGGGTGTTCGCGGTCCGGTTTGGGTGGTTTAACCTCTCAGATCATAAACTAAATCGTAATTGTGGTTTATAAAATTTTCAAACCGAGCAGTTTGACATCAAGTGTCCAGACCGGTCAAACCAGACCACGAAAAGGCGGTCTGGTCTGACCGATTTAGGCGGTTTGGGCCTTTAATGGACTTTAAATTTTAAACTTAAAAAAAACATATATAATTTACAATTTTAGATTAAATATCCATTTTGATAATGTTAGATGTTAAACTTTATGTTGGACTTAGATATATATTTGAACCATAGTCCATAAGTTAAAAAAATTGGGTTTGCTAATATTAAAATAAATAATTAAATAATGTATGTATATATATATATATACACACACACATATTTGGCAGTCGGTTTGGTCCAAACCGCCCAAAAAAGGTTCCAAACCGCAGACCGGACCGGACCGCCCGGTTTTACTATTTTCCAAACCAAACCAAATCGCCAGACTGCTCAAACCGCCAAAAACGATCCGGTTTGACTTGGTTCGGCCGGTTTAAGCGGTCCAACGGTTTTTTTGAACACCCCTAGTAAACACTTTTAAATAATAATATTATAATTTGTGAAAACATTTTAAATGTATAAGGTCTGGTATAACTTGTGAACATATTGTGAACAAAACTAAATCTAAACCTACCACTTGAGAAAACCTTGGTATAAAATTTCTTAAGACTGTTTTCATCGTGTTCACCTTGTGTACATATTTAATGGTGAAAGTGTGTGCGTGTATGTTACAGAAGAGCAAAGAGTATATGAGATATATATATATATATAGGCATAATCATTTACAGACCAATTAATTAATACCAATTTTACAAACTCAGCTAAGGGACTGTTTGACAGTTGATGAATGGTTTGATGCAGAATGATTAAGTGGTCAGAATGATTAAAGGGTTCTCATAATATAGTGCAAAATGAAATATAAATGTTTACAATGAAATTGGGCTCTTAATGGTTAAGGGAGACTCATGATACAAAAATCATTCAGAGAGTTTTGGAACCATTAAAAAGCAGATTTTTTTTTGTTAAACAAGATTCATCTCTTAACGATTTATATCTTGCATATAAATGAAATTATTAAGAGATAAATAAACAACCTTTAAGTAATTCAATCAAGGGTACGGTCAAATTGAAGGTTGTAAATTAATAAAAAAGAAAAGAATTAAATGAAAGTCAACACTATATAACAAATTGTAATTTAATTTAAAAAAATAAATCTGGTTATTTTTGGAATTAAATTCCTTTAATTTATGACTTAGATTCGATTTTAATTTCATTTATCTTTTAAATTCAATTATCTTTAGAATTAAATTCCTTTCTGTTTGTGTAAGAATTTTGTTGGTTCCAGAAAAAAACTTATCAAAGTTTATAGGTAAAATCAGAAAATAAATGAGATAATTAAGGTAATTTAAATAAAGTTCATTTGTGTATGTATATTTTGTACAAGGAAAAATTGTATCAAAATGGAACCAACTTTCACCTGATTCTTATTTTAGGAAACCAACTTTCACCTGATTCCTATTTTAGGGAACCAACTTTCAAAATCGTCATTTTGGGGAACCAACTTGCACCTGATTCCTATTTTGGGGAACCAACTTTCAAAATCGTCATTTTGGGGAACCAACTTGCACTTGATTCCTATTTTGGGGAACCAATTTGCAAAATAATTATAGAAAAATAACTAAAATTCGTTTTTTTTCGAAAATTAATGCAATAAAATCTATTTTTCATTTCAAATTTCGTTTTTTTAAATTCAAATATCAAATTGAAGATTTTTCAAAAAAAATCCAAATTACCACAATAAAAATTGTTTTTTACTAATGCAATAAAAAATTAATTTAATAGAAAAAAATTAATTGATGCAATAAAAAATAAATATTAAATATTACATTCAAGATTTTTATATCTAATCAATCCGTATCAATATTAAAGTTTAAATCAAATTTGACAATTCAAACCAAAAGTTTGATAGAGACCTTTAAATTACCTGTTCAACAGATCAACCAAACCTTTAAATAAATAAAAAGTTTAATAAAGATTCTTAAATGATAATTTTAAAAGTTAGTTTCTCAAAATAAAAATAAGGTGAAGTCTGAAACAATTTTCATTTCGTTAGCTTGAAATTGTCCTTTTGTGTTATAGGTAACACACATAAATGACACGTGGCGGTATTAGGATGGAAAAAGCAGTAGTGTGGTTAGTTATATGATTAGCAACGTTGTAGGGTCTGAATTGAGGTTCTAAGGTTTGGTTTAGACCTACCAATCTGGTACAACATCCTTTTTATTTGCCGTTTGACCAATTTCACTGTTACTAACGGGAACTTCAATCGAACGGTAAGTTTTGCCATTTTTTTGGATCCAATCGACCTGCAAAAACACCAAAATTATAGCGATAGCTGAAAATGAACGGCAAATATGCCGAGGGAGAAGAAGAACGGCATCTTGCCAAATTGGTGGTCCCCACCATGTTTTCCCAATATTTAATGATTTTTAAATAAATTATAAATAAATAAATAATTACAAATATTAAGTTTTAAGTTTTTATATTTATTATTTATATATATATATATATAATAAATTATTAATAACACAAATATAATACTGGATAAAATATGTTAATTACAATTTTATAGTTTTTATTTTAACATTTCTTCATTAAATAAATTAATTACTAATTCTTTATTATTACAATATC